GGCCGAGTCCCTGTAGGCGGGATGGGAGGAAAGCCGCCCCCGGGAGAGGCTGGGCAGCCCCGGGAGGGGGACGGGAGGGCTGGCCCGGGAGCGGGAAGCGGGGCGGCTCTGCCAGGACCGACGGTCCCCGAGATGCTCTGGCGGGAGCCCGCTGTGCACTTGCCTTGTTGTTTTGTCTCAACTCACCGGCTTACACCTAATTGGGAGGAGAGAGACGAGAAAATGAGCATCAAATTATAAAATTCCTGGGTGCCCAGTTGTTTCCACACGGGAAACAAAAGGCAGAGCTTCACTTCAGAGGCAGCGACTTCCCTCCCCGCAACACCCGCAGCACAGGCAGTATTGTTCTTCCCTTCGCCTGCACGTCGAAGAAAGGAGGGGGGGAGAGAAACCCTGAGGAAGAATCTCCACTCTTTCATGGCCAAAGTTTACTTCCCCCCCCCTCCCATCAACTCCTCCTCCTCCCTCCCCACCCCCAGCAGAAGGAGCTCTTGATACGCCGCTAAACTAACGAAACGAGGTAACTCCTGCTGCGCCCCTTGTCTCAGGGCACTGGATATCCTGTTTATGCGGCTTCTGTGTATATGTTTATGTGCAGGAGCCCATCCCCCCGCTCCTCCACACCCCCACGCAGAGGAATATTTCCAGGCAAGGAGCCTTTCCAGCGCTCGCGTTAAATACGATGATTTATAAACAACTCGCAGAAGAAAGCTGTTTCTTGTTAGTAGTAATAAATTCCCCGCTCCGCCCCATTGTATTATTCCGATGAAGATAGCGGGAGCCCGCGGCGCGCACCTACCCCCGTGAGCAGTTTATTTCCGAGACAAAGCTACGGCTTCAGCTCAAACCCGGGCACTCAACTCTTTTGGCGGTGCCCAGCCTGGGCTCTGCTCATTCCTAGGAAATCCAGATCCAGTTCCAGGGTCTCCTTCCTTCCTGTCCGGGCCGCAACTTTTGGTGTTTTTTTTTTCTTTCTTTCTCTATTTTTTCTTTTCGTTTTACCCGATCTCCCTCCTTTTTCTATATATTTTTTTTTCTTCATCCTCCCGCCTTCCCCCCC